CACAGATTAATTCTGTGTTGTTGATTTTGGAAAACACTACTGAAGCTGCCTTGCTTCCCTTCAGAAAATCTACATTTTAACCAACTTACATGACATTCTATGTTATGTTGACTTTATCACATGAAAGTTTATAGTGCATTTCATCAGTTAATAAATAAATGTGAAAATCGTAATTTTCAACACAAATAATAGTCTCGCTACCTTAAATTTCACAGTACCTTTTTATGCTGGAAACGTTGCATGACGTCATGTTATACAGTCTCGGGACTAATGTAAACAAACAGAGTAATCTGATAGCGCACGATAATATTCTACAATATAGTACGTTGGAAATTATTGTCAGTCAAAGAAAAAAAAATGACCGGCCTGATTGGAGCAATTCCATGTTCATGTGATAATCAGTGTAGTGCGTATCACGTGACCCGTGGCCGCGCTGAAAAAAAAGCACGACTGTTGCGCAGAAGTCTCGTATAGCAGGTATTACAATTTCGAAGCAGTCGTAATGAAAACAATGATCTGGATATTATTAATGTCGCTATACATGAATTCATGTCATTCTCAAGGTATGTTCAGTTTATTAAACAGTCTTCTGTCACGAAAACCGTCGAATTGTATTTTTTCGGCAGAATTCTTGGTGTCCGACACAGCTAGGCATTTACCGAGAATTCGAATCATGCTTCAGACAGTTACTAATATATGCTGTAACATTAGTAGTAAACCAAGTATAAATTAGACACATAACGTACCATGAAATATACAATACCTGCTAGGTTATAATATTTACTCCCACTATTGTAAACATCGACTCTTATCTCACTGACCCCTGGGTTACCCCTTGTCAAACTAAGACATCACGCTTTGTATACTCTTTAGTTGACATATGACATGTGTACTGCAGTTTACTTTGTTGAAAACCTGAAAATGCAATTGAAAAGTAAAATTCCTCTGTTTATTTGGTGTTTGATATTTCACGGAATAACTTCATACATGCTACTCAAAACAATTTAAGGAACACTTGAATATTCTCAGTTAAAGCAAGATCCTTTATTTCAGATAAACCCATTTGGTCACATAATTGGTGTGAAACGTCTGCACAATGAAACAGATGATAAGGACTGCATGTAATCATTACACATCGTTACATGAGTTCTGAAAGAGATAAAGGTTGAAAATAAAAATCCCAGTTCATGGAACATTTCAATAATGGGGGTGACCATCTCTTGCAGTTACACCATGCAACACAACGTCGCCTCATGGATGTCATTAATCTCTGCAGTGAACGTTGTGGTATCGCTTGCCTCTCTGTATCAGCCATTGAGCTAGCTGACGACGATCCACTGGTGGGGAATCATGATTGTCCATAACACGAAGACCAAGTAGACCCCACAAATGTTCAATTGGTGCCATGTCAGGTGAATATTCAGGCCAAATTGGCAGTTACGGTTCGGTTACGAAAGGCTGAGATAAGGAGGTAGCGGTCCTCAGTAGGAGTTGTGACACGTGGACGATCTGAATTGGGTCTGCCATGTACTGTATGGGTTTCTCTGAAGCGCTGGGATAGTCTGTGAATAACAGATGGGCCCACATTTAGCCTTCTTGCAGCTTCTTGCAAGAAAACACCCTCATTTAACCAGCCTATGGCCCTGGCTCTCTCTTCAATTGTTAAATGTCGACGTGGAGGCATGCTTGCAAAAGCTGCGACAACGCCATTAGTGAGTGTATTCTGATTACCATAATTGGAAGATGTGATCACAAGGATGCATTATGTACAGGGAAAAAAAACTCAACATTCTTTGAAGCATAATAATTAGAGCAGGTGTGTGATGAGCAATGTTCCATCTTTTCACCTGATTTTCGCCTGAAAGAATACATAACTGTGTAATTGAGGGCGCACTTATTCTCATCTACTGGGTTAAGAAAGTATTTAGACATGTGTGGCAGATTACAAACTCCCATTGTGGCAATATTGGGGTTACGTGACATCGTTTAACATGGTCCAAACGTATTTGATGTAAAAACTCAGGTGTTCCTTAAATTGTTTTGAGTAGTATATTTGTATGCGTTGTTTAAATACTTGGTTATGAATATCATGGTCCATTAGGAAATGCAATATATTGTTAGAACCCTCCATCTAGATTTGCATACAGTCACTTGTTTATTTGTTGGTGTTTTTTTTCAATAAAATTGAAGCGGGAGGATCGTCACCTGCGCACGCGCGGGAATTGAGTCCCAAGCGCCGATAACAACACACACTAAAAGCGCAAAGGCTCATGGGTAGACGCTTGTTTGTAAACAATGACACGCTATGGCGACCTGACGCATGCGTAGGTGACGACTTCCCCGCTTTAACGGCTGACAGGCAAATCTCCTGAGCTGCAACTCTGGGGTTGACGTATTTAAAATATACGTTTATTCTTTGATGACGACGTTGAAATATGTTTAAAGAAGGTCGTGGTGTCACACAAAATGATTTCCGATTACTAGTATAGTGTTATTTCTCTTAGCTCTTGAATCTTGTTTTGTTTGTTGATACGTAATGACCGGATACATAACCCCGTGACCTTATCTTGGCGTGTGTAGGCTATGGAAGTTATTTTCATTAGTAATGTAGTGTATCCATGCTGAATTTTCACCGCACCATTGCTGAAAATACCGTACATACTCCATGAGCGTCAGGGCGAGGTCACGGGGTTATGTCATATGATAATAACAAAACACGAATTCGGTATTTGCCTTTTATTCCAGAATGGTCTTACAGTGGCGAAACAGGTAAGATAAAATAGATAATGGCGTTGGAATTGTTAATTTCAGAAAAAAATAAAATTTGTATTTAAAATGCATTTCTAATATCTAAATCTGTTAGTATGCTGTCCACGTCACAGGTTACAACATTTTAGAAAGAGGTAATACATATTATGCTGTAAATGTGTTCATTACTGTACTTCTACTCTACTGTATGTACATGCCAGTATAATAATATATGCATATTTATTGAAATTGACACTATATTCCAAACGTCATCATTCAGCGCCTTCATATTTCGTGCAATACAATTTACCAGCGTTGTATACGTTGTGATGGACTCACGTGAACATGACGCGTGGCGACGACAACCACCATTTTTATCCAGGTTTTATATACAACGATTTATCTCGTCATTTTAAAACAACAACAAAAGTCATGGAGATATCGTGACAAAATGAAGTCATTGACTTGTATTGTTCCAAGAGAACTATTTGATTTCTCGCATATCTCGTATTGATATATGGCAATGACAAATACGGAGCAGTATATGTCCAAAACAGTTTGCTTGTTTGTAAGATGATTCCTCCTGTTTTTCGGTTCGTTCGTTTGCTCATTCATTTATTCTGCACTGTAGCAGGCTTAAATAAAATTGTATGTATTTATGATGTATCAATAATATCTATGTTCTTTCATTTCGACTGTCGTCATTATAGCAATCATTATTTTAAATATAATATAATATGTACAGTTTATTACAATAAGTGATTCATATGAGCCTTGACATGTCAATAATGCATAAACGATATTCCCATATGAAATTATGAATTGTAAATCTATCTTGGAAGTCAAGAATAAGCATATATATTATATATATAAGGCAGAATTTGACACATCGACTCTGTGTTCGGTGGCCAATGAGTGGTAATTCTAACTTGTCTCGCAGGACCTGCCAATTGGCTCGATATGTACCCCACCTGTGGAGGCGAAAATCAGTCACCTATAAGTATATTTACGACGGAAGCAGAGCAAATGGCAATGTTGAATTTTACATGGACCGGGTTTGGGGATGACCCACCCAACGGTGTTTACTATCACCGATTTGGTGTTTTTTGACAATATTTTCAAATCTTGGAACTACAGGTGAGTGAAGAATATATTGCGCATGCGTATGAACTCATTTGTTTCTTTGTTTGTTTTTTTCACTACTCCAATGTCCACAAAGTATTACAAATAAAGGTCTATGATTTCAGTATTGGCGCCTTGTTTGGCGTGGCGGGGGTGTACATGTGATATAATCAATAAACAATAAATTATCTTTCGTGAAATTAGATTATATAACTATTTCTAAAATAAAAACAGAATCAATAAAAATCAGTAAAATAAGTCACTATAAACTCACATTTAGTTAAAACAGGTTTGACCATATATATCATATATATCATACCGATGCGAAGTCCCGACTTAGTATATGTATAGACTCCATTTAAAGCGGTGCGGTCGTCACCTGCGCACGCGCGGGAATTGAGTCCCAAGCGACGGTAACAACACACGCTAAAAATGCAAAGGCTCATGGGTAAACGCTTGTTTGTAAACAATGACACGCTATGGCCATCTGGCGCATGCGCAAGTGATGACTCCCCCGCTTTAAATATAACAGAACGACCTCGTGTCATGTGTGTAATTGCTAATTGCATAATCATGAATGGTGAATTCCGAACTATCATACAGCACCCCCACAACGTTGGTATTTTTTATTTATTCTACCCATAGTGCAAGTGAACTTTACGGGTGATTATTTGATATCTGGCGGTGGTCTGACAAACACGTACAAAGCAACAATGCTTCATTTTCACTGGGATGGGAATGGTGTACACGGCTCAGAACACACTTTAGACGAAGTTAGGTATCCAATCGAGGTGTGTACATATGTAACGGCGCCCGGTTTGAGTTGTACTATTAGTCCTAATAACGATAATCTGATGCGTACAACGCGTGCAAAATAGTAATACATTGTTTGTTTCTACGAAATTCGAACGGTAGCCGCGCGGCGACTATGGAGCCCGACAGAGGGCGCAACTGCAGCGAACTGGGTGACAATGACATCTTTGTTTGGTTATTTATTTCAGATGCATTTGATTGGATACGATTTCGAAAAATATGACGATTTCGATTCTGCACTCTCTCATCCCGAAGGTATAATTGTCGTGGCAACGTTTTTAGAGGTAAGTACAAGTCTTAGATCAAAATAAATGTATCCATCAAAATACTTCATTAAAAACTTTCCGTGACCTTTGAACTTATCGTTTTTTTTCCGAGAGGAAACAGCATAATGCTCAGTGTGCGTGAACACAAACAAACAACTGACAAACAATCCACAACTAACCAAACGACTGACAAAATACTCCAAAAATTACTAGCAAGAAGTACAGTTAACAATAAACGTAAGATACATGAACCTCAAAAGAGACTGCCAACCGTTGTTAAGTGTCATTTAATCTGTTGACCTTAACTTGATCTGTATTTCCAGATTACCAGCGAAGATAATCCCAATTACAGCGAAATGTTCACAGGGTTTAACAGCGTTACATACAAAGGTAAATAACTTATTATGGGCCCAGTCTCAGTGTTAGCGCCACCCGAGTTCATCCAAATCAAAGAACATATGTACGTGGCCCATTAAACGCCACAGGTGTAATACAACGCGTGTCCAAAATTTATAATATACAATATCACGTCACGTGGGACCTATATCGAACACGACAATACGACTGTGATGCTTCATTCGTTTTTATTTCATTTATGAATATGCTCTATTGCGATGGAATCAGTAATTCAGCAACGTATGTATCAATCTAATGTTCGTTTTTTTCACTCTGGTAGGGCAATCTTATCAGTACCCATCACCATTCCCAATATTACCGATGTTGCCCTATAACACGTGGGATTTCTATCGTTACCATGGTTCACTTACGACACCTGCATGTGACGAGGGCGTTCTATGGACTGTATTTGTCCAGTATCAGCAAATTTCGCACGATCAGGTACCAGTTAAAGGGCGGTGGTCGTGCTACGCATATGCGACATTTATATTTATAAACATTGATTTTCCCACAATCCAATCCGCTATTATAATGAAAATCACAAGTATTAGGTTTGACCTGGGCGCGACTTGCACTAATTACCACTGGTGACTCCTTCGATACCTTCGAATCACCTTAAAAATACCTAATTAAAGCTTGATAATTACTCGTTGCTCTGCACAACAGCCAAAGTCGCCATCTTTGTTTATACGAGACCCATATGGCTCGCGCATGGCGTGGCACAACGAATACCGCCCTTTAGTATATTTCGCAGAATGTGTTTAATAGTGATTGCAGTGATTCTTTTCGTGTGCCGGCGTAGAATCCATATTATAATATAATTATAAGCATACTGCGAACATAACGTGATTTGAACTGAGACGACCACGACAAAGCGCCTTGCTACTGTAAGTAGTACTTCGCTCAGCTACCCCACATCTAAAAATAGCGAGCTTTCAGTGATGAAATAGAAATGCACGAGCCGAATTTGTCTCTATCCACTCGTGTAGCGTCTGGACCAGGGTGGACGCGATTAACTGGTAAACACTACGAGCAATTTAAATGCACTACAACTTGATTGTGCGTCACAAACTGGGGGAAAAATAAAATTAAACTTTGGGATACTTGAACTTGTTTCCAAAGAAACACTGACTGTGATTTCCACCATGGGGTCTACAGTGACACCCAAGTTGATTTGAATACATAATTCAAAGACTAATTTGGTATGTTTTCTTTGGATTTTCAATTAGGTGTAGTTGTTAGCCATTAATTCTTAATTCTCAGTCAATTGACTTTTTCGCTGCACAAATTAATATCAAATACTGCCCTACAAAAAATAGCATATAAAGCAGCAATGGGGTGACACTGTGATTAATACATGGTTATCCCGACTATTGTTACTACTAATACTAG